TGTTTGGTAGGAGTTTGCTGAGTGCCATGACGTCATTTCATTTCTGACTGTGTTCTCTGCCTCCGTCTCAACTAACTTGTGTCTTCGAACAAGTAACTCAGATTACCACCTTGCAGTGAATTGCTCTCTTGGAATGGTGCCAAGAAAAGGAGTGTTTTGAACTTGGCGAAGATCAAAATAAATCATAGAAACGCGCCCACTATCGAGCAAATGGCCTGGAGGACATGTTCTTAATAGCGGACGAGTTTCAGTGATTTTAGATTGAATTCAGTTTCAATTACTATTTACCGGTTTTCTCCTGCGTTCACTTCAAGGTTTTTTGGTCATCTTCTGGAATTCACCTGAAGCAATGAAAACGTTCATTGAAACATCTCCCATGACAATGAGAAGCGATGGTCGATAGCGTTTTTCCTCGTCTTTGTGAATGATTGTCATAAAATCGTCTCGGAGGCTGTCACGGTGCACCATTAACTTGCAGTTTTTTTTCTGAATTTTATTTAAAAATTTATGAATTTGATTATCCACTATAAAGAAGTCGAGGTTCCCATAGCGATTTCCTTGAGAATCATGACCTCTGAGACAACTAATGGAATCCTCGGCCCAGACATCCTCAACTTCTCCACTTCTCCCATAAATGCCAATTATTCTAGTGTCATTCTAATTAATCCTGTTTTAAGAGCAGCTGAAATTAATTAATTCTTTACCCTCAACATTTATCCCGCTCTGCACCTAGGTCCGCTCTTCTGATTGCCCGAGGCCACTTTTCCCGGTTGGACGGATAATATACTAATTAATAACTGTTTTTTTTTTGAAGACTCGAAAGGTTTTGCATGTTATAGCGTTAGGGTGCATTGAGCACAGGGCACGTCCTGGCGCTGGGGAAAATTTTTGCAAAATACTTTTTCTTCTGCGGTCATTGCTGTGCCTTTCAAAAATTCCTGAATTCCTCCACAAAAAATCCCCTCGAGCGGGCCTGGGGGGGGGGGGTAAGTAGGATCCCTAAGATGTGAGGTACCCCGGCTGAGCTCACATATCTGCGTCAACTAGGGTGTGGCCCACAAGTTCTGAGATTGGTCTCTGGTTTCGTTGCTCGGCGACGTAAAGGAATTGTAGCAGGGTGCTAAGACAAAGGAAACGTCTATACGACATCTAACCGTGGTTCTAGTTTTATTTTGTTGAATATTATATATTACGCGTATTATAAATATAATTTCTATTTACAATTTCACTATATCACACGTATACATTGTTGAATGGACTTTAGTATAATGGTACACTTGACTCCGCCCCCGACGTCTCCGCCCTCTTACTGCAGGATTTATTGAAAATTCTGCCGCACTACTACCTTATTCACCCTTTTTCTTCTCACACATATAATTTACACATGTATTGCAATTTTAGACACCTACGGCACTGAACTCCACCCCCTGGCCACGCCCCCTTCTAGACATTTTATATTTTTTTGCAGGATTTCGTTGTTTAAAATGTTGGAAAAAAAACTCGTAGTGTCGTTCACGCATTACATCTCGCATTGTTTTATATTTTTTTTGCTAGGTCTGCTCACCAAACTCCGCCCAGTACGGTCAAACTCCGCCCGATTTTGCGGAAGTTTATCGTTCGTAGCTTCTGTCACACCGAACCCCCCCCACTACAGTCAAGTCCTGCCCGTTTGCAGGGTTTTACTTACTCATGTCCCGTAGTTTAGCTTTGATCTCCTTAGTATCTTAGTTTCTAGTAATTTTTTCTCATTAGGAAACACTTGGGCGCGAGGGTGGAGAATTGAAGAAGATCGTTTGGTGGGGCATTTGAAACTTGCATAATTGACCTGTAGTCCCGGCATGGTCAGTAGAAGAAAGCAGTCGTTCTGCCAGTCAACTTCTCACTGAGCGATACTTTGGTTACCTTCACATATTTGCATAGGAATTAATGGGTTCTACTTTTGGTGACCCTTTGGTGGCACGATTGCCTTCCCTTGCCACTTTTAGGTTGTAGAAAAGTTTGCCTAAAATAATCTTGACAATATGAGCCGTTCGTTTGCCCTGCACTTACACAAAGGTCCGTCTCATCGATTGCAATCTTAAATTCCCGTCTCGGAACATCGTTTCAAAGCGCTTTCACGTGAATGCATTGAATTGTGATGTAAAAAGAAACTGGATTTTACTTGGCTTATTATCAGAAAATTTATCCATGTTTCGCTAGATAACAAGTATTGCAAGTTATAGGTAGAATTATCTAGACAATTGCGTTTGCATGTAAGTTTTTGGGTTATGGGTGTAAGCACGGGCTTAAAAGAGATTAGTACGGGTACGCAATTCAGAAGCCCCTCTTTTGAGTAACGTCTCTTGCACGTCAACAATTTACCCGTGCTGTTTTCTTCGTGTGCAGATAAGGGGCTTAGTGGATGAAAAAAGCCATCTTTGGGTGGGACATGGAATTGTAGGAAGTTTCATCTGAGCTGTACCAGGTATTCTGACTTAATTGTTCAGTTCCTTTGTCCTCATTCCTAATCTCAACTGAGAGTTCGGTGGAATAGATCAGTGGGTTTCCCACACGAGGGCGAGAGGTTTCTTCGGGTCTCTCCTGCACCGCCTTGTTGTCGAGCTGACGTCACGTGAAATTCAATAGCTTGCTGCGAACCGACGTGAGCGCTTTGTGGGATGACCCAACATATCATTTTAGGGTGACCCAATGTAATTGCGGTAGGTTACGCTATCGTGGTATCTCAGGTCGCTAGTTCTTGTCGTATAGTTGTGGAATGTTCCGCTGGTAACTACTTAATTAATTGTAGTTAAGGTGTTCTTAGCCTTCTATTCCAGAGCTAGGCTCCCTTTACGTTTTTTTTTGCAGCCACAAAATTTTCCCTGCTTTGGAGAAACTATCGCTATATGATGTGCTAGTTGTTCTCACATTGCTGACGTCTCTATTGTAGAACGCCAGGCGTTTTGGCTGCGATTGCTATCCGAGGCCAAAGGATCAATCTGCGTTCTCTAATAGTTTTCCACCCTACAACTGTTTCTTAATTTCTTACCACGTAGTTTACGTGATTCTATAACACCCCTGTATGGTTATAGGTGGTTTAGTTTTGTTTGTTGGATGCTAATATGGTTACGAGGATGGGGAGGGGGGCGGGAGGAGGAGAGGCTCTGGACGGTTTGTCTATTCCCTTTCCCTAATCAAGGTTTAGGCTCGGAGCGCAGAAGACCAGGGAGCAGTTTCGCAGAGGAGGCATGATCTCCGCTGAATCTAAACTTTGGTTGAAGACAGACCGGCGCTCGAGCAGTTTATGATTATCTTTCCTCGTGCTACACCAGCCCGCAGGCTTAGGGGCTGTCCGTTTTCCGCGACTCAAAGCGAGTGAGGAAAGTTCCGCAGCCGTAGCGGGCATAGTCCGAACTGCATGTCCATTTTTGCCGACCGCGCGTGCTCATGAGTAATTCTACTCCCCTTATAACTTTTCTTCATTAGGAGCACATGCATCCAACAAAAATCCATCTCGCCAGGTAGGATTTGTTCAAATCACCAGCGGTGCAATTTTGATGCAAAAGCTTGACGTACACTGCTTACCGTAACCCTGAAGTCGTATGCAGAGTTTGCGAAAGTTTCTTTCTGTTACGAGTTTTGCGTCAGTATTTCTGTTATTTTTCGCTTCTTTTTCTTTGCATTGGATGACATTTAGTATTGGAAAATGCTAAAAAGCAATTTGTGAGGCATATGTTGCGCAGAGACCGCAGGGCGTCGAGTTGAAGGCTGTTTGACTTTCAGAAAGCGATTTTGTTTATGGTCATCTTAGAGATTATGTTCGCTATTTTCTTCTTCTGGGAATCACTTACTTACCAGCTACTGGCTCTTAGCTGAACACTTATCAGCTGCTGATTCACAACTGCAACACCCGCTATTTATGATTCTTAATCGCGGGATTTGTTTTTGAGGAATAGAAGAAGGCGCTGCCGAGTGGTCCTTCCAACTATGTTAGCGCCCCATATTGAAGCGGGATCACTAAGCGGAATCGCGCCGGTTTTTCGCAAATTTGTTGTGTTGATCAATTTTCATTTTAAAAGCCTCGTATAGAATCCTCGACGGCAATGTTCCGAGATTTCTTTGGCGATAGCGCTCGGCGGCAAGACCTTGCCTTTTGAAGGACGAAACGTGGACTTCCCAGTAGCACTCTGAGGGTCTCATGACAACTGTAATTCTCGAAAACTCCCTATTTCTCTCTTCTTTTTTCCTTTCCCTCTTCTCTCTTCCATCTTTCCGTTTCTTCAAAGGCTAAGCCAAATGAGGTTAGGAGAAAATGCTTCTGGACTTTCGCACAACTTTTGGCAGACAGCTGTCTTGTAACCAGTCCCACGATAAGAATTTGTGGACGAGAAGGTATGAGCTCCGTGTGCCATGACCCTATTCACCATATGAAGGGTGAAGTCCGTTGACAATCTGGTTTTGGGATGCGCTACGCATTCTACTTTCAGTCAGAATCATAGTGGCTTATTGAATGCGATGTAGCCCATACAATGACCTGCGGGGCCACCCTATGTAAAAGTCAATGTTCTTATCCTTCCATACCATTTTGTCACTTTCACCTCCCCGTATCCTAGAAGGCTTGGTTGACCTGGGCGGGAGTCGGTCCGAGAGTTGATCCCCGGGCCGCGCGCGTGGTAAGATTGCCATTTGATACTACACCGCCTCCACCTTCTTCATTATGTATTACTAGAAATCATCCTGTAAGGTTGTACTTCTTGAAAAGGTACCATCAGCTGTTGCTATGAGTGCAGATGACTGCGGATTCTCATTGTCGTTCTGTTTTCTGTTTTTTTTTCTTCAACGCTATCATTATTTTGGAATTGTCGAGTTGTCCTAATATGACCTGGTAAGATTTGCCGTCGTGAAGCTGTAATTATTCGTATAGCTCGAAACCTTGATATTTTAGGTAGATCACATTATTTTCAGAACTAAGCGCATCACAGTTTAACTGTGTACAGTCACCGGGCACCCTTCTTTGTGGGATGCGCAGTGAGTTTTCTATATTTTTACTAATACTGCTGTGTAGTCTTCGAGGACTCTGTGGTGAAGAAGACGTGTCAAGCTCTCCATCTGCGCCAAAGGTGCGTTCTTATACAGTGGAAAGTTTTTTTTTGCTATTTTCTCATTGTTTTTGTTACTTGCTTTGGTGTGTTACTGTTGTTTGGAAAATTAAGCTCTAGTTTTACTCAACAGTTTTGTTGTTTCGTGCTCTGAGTCATATAGTCGTTATCACTGAAGTTAGTCAGGGCGTGTCAGCGACATATATGGGTTTCGGCGCGGCGCCAACCCCTTTCCAACCAATCGCTAAAGGGCCCCAAGTCACAGGGACCGATGGAAAACAGGCTGGCACCGCGCCAAAACCACTCATCATTGAAACGTTGCGACAGCAATGATGATGATTGTACTGCCTCCAAGGACAAAATTGCTAGACAAGTTTACTCGCAGGGATGACTTCGACATAAATTTAGCTCAACTCGAAGAATGGGGTAGAATGCGCTGATAGCCTGAGCCTAGTGTTCTCCTCCTTGGAACCCTTTCCTCTTTTTCCTAATCTTTCTTCTCTCTCTCCCCTCTTTACCGCCCTTCAGAGGCTGGGCCCAGGAGCAGCATCAACAGAAAACTTCGCTGGACTTTTGAAGGGGGAAAACCTGGTAGACAGTCTTGTAAGTTACTTCATACTAGTAAGTTTATAGGTCCCACTATTATATTTCACACCGACTGCGAGGTCTGTGGCTCAGTACATTGTATGGATTTCTGTCCTACCCTGCGGGTTTAGTGATAGCTGTTCAGCTCTGAAGATCTGCTAAAGTTATTGTGCGCTAGAAAATCTTCCGTGAAAAAAGTCCAAAAACCATACTTTCCACTGACCTTTCGATGTTTGACTAAATAAGTGAAAGCTTATCTAAATGGCAGTTTTAAATGAATATTTGTAAAATTTCTGGAATCGTGACTGAACCTTGAAACTTGATGATGAGCGAAAAAAGGACATTAATTCCATAGCAACGCGTGGCTCTTCATAATCTGACTTGCTGTAGGAGTTATTCCTGCATCCCAAGTCTTTCACATCTTCACATTCGCTCGTTTTCTTACTTTTCTTGAAAGTGTGGCGAGCTATGAATATATTTTTATGCAAAATCCATATTTTCACGTCAATCATCCTGTCTTTCCCGGAAATAGGGGTTTATTTATAGCTCAAAGTGCAAGTTCTTCAATCACTTGTTTGCTGTAACATGTTCAAGATAATGAAACTGGTTTTATTTGCTTGTGAAGTTTTGTGACAAGTAATTGAGCTGTGATTAATTAAATTGCTCCTAGTGTTCTTATAGGCGTCTGAAGCACCTCGCTCGATCAATGTTATCACATACGAGAAGGAGGCGCTCATCTCCGGCACTCGGATTGAAAACATAGAAGGAGAAGAAAATGCTTTCTTAGGATATACGTAAGTGTTTAGTTATCTGCTTCCAAAAGTTCCTTTTCGCCCAGTGTAACCTTGTTAATGCACAGTTCCGGGCTGAAACCGGGCTGAAATCTGACCCGAAGAAAATTCGTGGAAAAGGATGGAAAGGCAAAGTTTTTGCCGTTGATCAAACACTTTTTGGGATGCGACATGCATTCTACACCCATTCATAATCGTATCGTATAATCAGCATCGTTTGTTGCATTTTTGCCCAAAGCGCCCACTACACTACTCCCTGCACGGTAGACCCCATTGGAACCGCGCCTCAGATAGCCACGCCCCTTTTTGCCGCGAACATTATTCGCACTTACGCATATTGTACACTTCTAGTTATATTTACCCTATTTATTCCACAATTCTACTATATTACGTATGCACCTTGTGGTAGGAACTTTATGTATTGGTACAATTTACTCCGTCCCCGGCAACTCCACCCACTTATTGAGTTACTTATTGAAATGACTGAAAGTGAATGCAATGTGGCCTATACAGGTACTTGCGGGAGCCATGTACAAGTCGACGTTTTCTATCCTCCCAGACGAATGTGGTATTAATTTGCCGTTCTCGAAGGGTAGAAGTCTTGATTTGTTTGCGTGGGACCCGGTCCCAGATTCGACCCCAGGACCGGGCGCGCGTGGTAGGGTGCCAGTTGCCAATGAAAACCTCCGCCTCAAAAAGGCAATATTCCCTTCGCTTTGTGGGAAAAGTAGTCGTACAAAATTGAAGAATAGAAGAGTCGAGAGAATCCGTGAAGAGGGAGATATACGAATTAATTTGCCAATACTTCTTTTGGACCCACTCGACGAGATCAATTCGATTTACAACCTTGGTGGCTGGGATGATGGGGTCTGTCAGGGAAAAGGGGTTTGACGCGGCGCCAACCCTTTTTTTATTCACTTTTTTCTTTGGACTAGCGAAAAGACCACCATATTTTTAGTATCCGTCGTTGTCCACCAACTGTTGCCGCTTCCCCGCTTCAACAAATGGTGGAGAACGGGCTGGCGGTGCACCATACACAGCCTCACTGATACGCCCCATCATTCGTAGCGAACAATGTAATTCTTTTCGCGATTACTCGAATTCCGACCCTCCAGATCAATACTTATACGTACCGTATCCTTTTCTATGGGTTCTCCAATTGTCTAGGCGTTGCGTATGAACGTGTTCTGCCATTTTCCATGCGAGGTAAAAGTTGCTGTAGGGCTAAATTGCAAAGTGATCGTTTCAGGAATCGTGGGGCAAGTATTGTATTGCCAGATCACGTAGTGCGTGTAGTATTGTTTGGAATTTGGCTTGAAGAACTTCAAACGGTGAGGAATTTTGGATGTTTTCTGATATTTACATTAACCTTTATATTTCCTAATTTATTCTGCTTTCTGTCCAGGTTGCTTTCACAACTACGGAAAATTGTTCAGCAGCACCTCTTGTTTTTGAGCAAGTGGATTTCACTTCACAGTCGGACAAGCGTGTAGTACTGATTGCGAGCTTTCCTGAGTTCGTCTATGTTTCTTATCCATTTCTTTTCTTTCATTTTTCCTATTTTTCCAAGTCATTGAACCATACATGTGTTTGCAAAGACATATTTAGTGTTCCTCTTGGCGAGTTTTACCGTTTGTGCATAAAATCACGTCCTAAGTACAATCGTTTTCCGGCGGAATATGTGCAGGTGAGCTTTTCAAGAGAATGACCTTTCTTTGTGTACTTGCACACTCGTGTCATATCGTTTATATTTCGGCTATTAACAAATTTTCCATTTTTCCATTTGTGCGATGGTTTTGCTTTATTGATTGCTTGTTCGTATCTCTTGGGCACCAACATAGGTTTATGGGGCTACGCTTCGGGAGTGGGGTCACCACCGCCAGTGTAGTCGTCTGCGATCTTTTTCTCACCGGGATAAAGATCCTTTCCTTCATCTAGGCTCAGGATCATAGTGGTGTGGACGGCAGACATCGCCTTGTGGCTTCCTCTGACTTAAATAAGTCCTCTCGCCTAAGTGGTTCGCGAAATGGCTACGTGCCTTTGGCTATCCAGGTCCGTAATCGCAGATAATGGACTACTTTGGTTTCTCGAAAAGGCAAGATAAAACGGCCCCAGGCGAATTTCGTGCGCTGTCCCTTTCAGTCTGCAGGGCAACATTTTACACGCTGAATCACGTGTAGGCACTCTGTTGCCTGCAGTGTCGTAGGACGATTTCATTTGCTCTCGCATAAAATCTTAACATGTCGAAAAGTTTACGAGCTCACGAGTTCTTCTGCTCCTCCTGGATGCTTGTTTAGAAAACAAGCAAGTAGTAGCAGTTTACTTTTTGCTGCAAGACGCGTTTAGAACTGCTGAAAGGAGTAGGTCTGGAGACCTGGACAGTGAGTCCGGCAAGGTCTCTATGATCTGCTTTTTCTCTTCCCTGTACAGTCACTTAGTTTGAAATTGAACGTCACTATCCCAATGTGCAGTCGCGGGATTTGCCTTTTTATTGAGCACGATTTTTATTGCTGTTTTTTCTTTCATTTTTTTGAATAGGCACAGCTCGCTGCTTCTGGTCTTATGGAATTGGTGAGTTTACTAGCTCCTGTGATCTATGTCTGCTATCCAATTCCTAATCTACAAGTATTGTAGACGAGCACATCCCGTGAGAATCGATGTAGACTAAACATCATTTTCTCAGCCCTCATCGTATATCTTTCTCACGGGTTTGTCCCGTTAATGAATTTTCGCATAAAATATGCTGAATTCTTTAGTCGTTCCAAAGGTTGTCTACCCACCTGTTTGCATCTGATGTCAATTGTCTCCTAGCAACCTTTTGGCTGTCAGCTCCGTGCTGAATGAACCTTGGTTGTCCCGTGGAATGCTGCCAATTGTTTAGTGGGGACGCGCTGCAGTTGAATTCTATGGGGTGCGCAATAGAAGCACGAACTGCTAGGGAAATTTAAGCGAGAATATCTTGGAGTCTAACTGGTTTATGGTGGTTAGATTCAATTTCAGGAATTTCTCGGAAGAGTGGTTAGACAGTTAAGTTCGCTATGGAAGGCAGTATCATTTTCATACTAAAACAACATAAATGCCAGGAACGTGGTTCATATCGTTATCAAACCAAAATAAGTGTTATTTTTTGCCGTGTGCTATTCGCGAAACTAAAATACAAACTTCGCGGTTGTATATTGTGAATAAAGGCGTTCAATTACAAACTATGGTCGCTAAACGACTCCTCAAGGGGGGGGGAAGCAAAAAAAAATCATGGAGAGCACCCTAATTAGGGACCTGGCAGCCACCCTGGACGGTTCCCGGACCTGCTCGTTTCATGCCGGCAAAGGGATATCCTGCTGCTTCTGACTCATAGTTATTTCTTCGCGTCACTTCTAACAGTGAGAAAATTGCGAAAAACGCGGTACAAAAACTGAAATCCGGAGACTACAAAGAAGGCTTCAAAACCGCCAGTTGTGACGGCCACAGCGCCTTTGCTACTTATTGTAAATCTGCGATAAAGGAACAATTTTAGAGGCGGGGGGCCTGACTACTTGTACAAGGAGGGACCCAAAGCTTGAGCGCGAGGACTGTCTTTGAAGCTTAGGTTTTAACTAGTTGTGAAAGTGTCATCGAAAATTAATTAGAAGGCTGATTTTGCTGAGAATTCCCATGCGTAATGAGAAGGCTAGTTTTGTTGAGGATCCCCATGGGCAAGTGGCGAAGGTCCTTTGACATTCCTAACTATTTCCTTTCTCTTTTGTTTTCTCTACCGGTTTTCATTTGAGGACGTCAGAAACTGCAATTTCTTGTGCTTGTAGTTCTATCAAATTTCTTTAGGTTTCGGAATTTCGTACACGAATCTCTACGGAAGTTCCTCCACGACAATATTATTTCGCGTTATGGATTCAGGTATGCATTTTCATACACTGCGCGGTCCAAAGTTTAGCATAATGTTCAAAACTGTTGACAGAAGTTTTAATTGATCGGTCCCTGTGTTTAACAAGTCGGTTTATCAGGACAAAAGATGCACAGGGGTAAGGACTGGAGCGCGTGTCTCGGATTCCCTAACTTCATGGTCCGGTGATGCTTAGATTTGTTATAAACAATTTTCGGGCTAATAGTTGTATGGGTCAGTGATTATGAAGTCCTACAGTTTGTTATCACTAAAGGCGTTGGCTACGATTGCTGGGGCGGGCGGTTGTCGCCAACGTCATTGATGGGAAGGCTGAGAGGGGTGTAGTCAAACGCCCCCTCGCAGCTCTTCCACCAATCACGTCGGCAACAATCGCACGCCTCCTGCAATAGTGACCGCTACCTTTACTGGTAGTATGACGCGTCGATGAAAACCTCCGCCAACCGTTACAACCATACCAACGGCTCTGGTTTCCAGAAAATACGGCGAATAGTATATACCCACATATTAAGAGTTGTCCCCTCTTCAGCACGCACCGTGTCATTTTCATAGCTCGCGATAGGCAGAACTGAATCGTGTTTGCACTTCTCAAGCGAGGGAAGCACGGACCCGACCAAATTTAGCTTCTTCGTGCTGCTGAAATTGGGAGCATTAACTTGCTATGTTGTAGAAATGCTCTTCTGGATATTTACTAGTTTTTATTTTCAGGTGATAATTATAGCATGTCTTCTTGTTCTGTCCGGTCTCTTTTCTGGTCTCAATCTGGGTCTAATGTCTTTGACTCCTCAAGAGTTGATGCTCATTCAAAAATCAGGTGAGTTTACGTCAATTCTCAATTTTTTTTTTCGTTGCGATCGCGTTGAGACCATGCTGTGCATGCGGGGAGCTGTGATCGGTCATCGTATTAGTTCCACCTATCATATGCTCCCCACTTCCGTGTCAGAATTTCGAAGGCCGAGTTTTAATACAGTCATACCATCTGATTTACAGTTGCTTTGGCTGCAGACGCTGAGCGTGTCAGGTTGGGTTTGGCGCGGCTCCAGCCCGTTTTCTACCAGTTGTTGTCGTTTGCTCATTTTAGCAGTTGATGGATAGCTAGCTGGGCCGCTCCAAGACCAGTATCTCTGACACGCCCTGGCGTATACTGCGAAAACGGATGTGCCAGTTCAGTTGTCTCGAGGGACAGCTGTGACCAGTTTGAAGGTTTCACAGAAAAAAAGGATCAGGATGTCCAAAAACTGTTCCAATTTTGCCTGCAGTGTTCTTATTCGTGTAGTCGTTCAGGGTCTAAGGCTGAGCGAAAATATGCTGAAGTTATCTTACCAGTTCGTGCGCGTGGAAATCTCCTCCTTTGCTCACTTCTTATAGGTAGGCCTCGTTACATTGGGCTTGATCTTGTTGACTGAGGTTTTATCAGCCTGATTCACGTTTTTATTCGTATTACTTTAGGCAATGTTTGTGTAAATTCGGGTATTTCCATTCTCTTGGATGACCTCACTTCTGGTTATGTGGCTCTGATTGCCTCATCTGCTGGTATTGTGGTATTTGGTGAAATTTTCCCACAGAGCTTATGTGTCAAGTATGTTCCTTCATTCAGTTCATCCTGGAAATCACTTGTATATTTTTTTGTTTTTCCAATACCTTTGTTTTACATTTCATTTCTATTATTTTGTTACTAGGACAGTTAACAGGAGGTAATGCATTGGCTTGCGCACTATTTGTCATTTGCATCTTGTGTGTGAGATCATCGTAGGAATATCTGGTGAGTGAAGCTAGGAAACGTTGTCGCTGGCCTTTCTCTTATCCCTTTTCCGCTTTTTACCGGATATGATAGGCGGGAAAAGGAAGTGCACGCCAATGGCATCGTTTCCTGGCCACGCCTACCCGGCTATTATGAACAGTGTATTTAAGTCTCCTCAGTCAACCGAGTGACCCGTCGCTCCCGACTCCATTCCCTTTAAGAAAGTTTCCGCGACTAAATGTCATGGATGGTTGCTGTTCAGTTATGAACCACTAACTGACTGATTCCCCAAAGAAGAAAAACGCAAAAAAATTCCTGAAAACTCCAGTCACACCGCCCTGCGCTCCCTGTGCAACCGTTGGGTGACAATCGCTTTTTCGCATTTCCCAGTACTAAATAACATCCAGTGCAGGGAAAAAAAACGAAAAACAGCCAAAACAGCGATGCAAAACACGTAACAGAAAGGAGCTTTCAAAAGCCTTGCGTTCGAATTTTGGATTGCGGTAGCATTGCACGTCGAACTTTTGCACCAAAAATGGCATCACTGGTGATTTTAACATGTCTTGCCTTGCGAGATGGACTACTATGGTGGCTGTATATGCTCCTATTGAAGAAAATATAATAAAGGAGAGCAGAATTACTGATGAGCACGAGCCCGATCGGCAGGAATGGACATGCAATTCCAGTTTATTCCCGACGTCCCAACAAACGACAATCGAGCGCCCCAGCGTTGGGTGTGGAGAGCACTTTCATTGGTGTGGGCGGCAGGGTGTCAGAACTAGAACTTTCGACGGCTGTAGCATTCTCCTCACTCACTGTGGAGTCGCGAAAGTGAGACAGTTTATTAGGTGGATGCTGGTCTACTTGCACAAGGAAGGAAGACTACAAATTACTTGAACACTGAAACAGTTACTAGTGAAGTCGCCTGTTCAATCCAACAGTAACATCACTTATAGTTCTTGCGTTTCTTTGCTCATTCAAAAACCTGTACGACGATGAATGGAAGTCGATTGTGTTGCACATATGAAAATTTTCTATTATTATTATATTTATTTTCACATAATTTCTTCTATACACAACAGCTGTAGAATAGTGGACTTGACGTAACTACTGAATTGAATCGATGAGTGTAAAGGTGCGATTATAAGCCGTATTTTTCCGAAGTATGTAGAAGTTTCAGCAGCAATCAATTTCTAGCAGTAAACGCCCCTCCTGCGCAAAGTTCAGAAACACTAATGGTTCCATTACTTAGGCATTCAATCGGAGTTGGGATGAAATTAAATTGCGCGTCGGCAGTTAAGCTTGATTGCGATTTGCTTGTTTCGTGGAAACCTTGGAATTACTTGCGAAAACGGGACTGACTCCTTATTTTCGTCGAGTTTTCTCAGTCTAATGGACTTTCTGTTTCTCAAATTGCATCGCAAAAGGAAAATAGGAGAAAGGGATGTAAGGTGGTTTCTCTCTGTTGTTCTGAGTGGTGCAGGAGCGGGGGAGGGGGGGGGGGAGGATTAAAAAAGACAATCGCTGGTAGAATGCGTCACCAAAGATTGCTTCGCAAAGGTTGACCTGGTACTAGAAAACCCATTGTAAAATGTTCCCAAGATGTTCCTCTGTTAGCGGGAGCAAAAATTTCACCCCGGCCTTCAGGTCAGAACAAGGTGGAGTCCTCCCTCATCGCCGTCGAGCTCAAGAATGCCTACAGCAGTAATCGCGCTGGCATGAGGCGGCTGCGTGACTTGTACAATTCATCTTTTGCGTGTAGGTTTCGAGGGATCCTTGCTGCGGTGGCGTAGATGATCAGTTGTACAGCTCTCTGAACAAGGTCGCTGTGGCTCATTATCATCTCCTCACGACTCAGCCCTGCACTGAAGTTGTACGCCAGGACTCTCTGATCCCGAGCACGTCGCTTGGGCAGACTCTGAAGATATATGGCTTGACACTAGTGCCCATTATGCATGCCCGGGATATCACTTCATGTTATTTCGTGCGGAAAAAAGTTTCAAGGGTATCCTCCACGAACGAAGTGTTTTTATTTGCCCCCCCCCCTCGCCCCAGGTCTGTGCCGTGTCCCCTTACCATCTCTTGATAGTCTTCAGAGACAGTGAGCGCGATGGCTGGGGGCGGGCGGTTACTGCCAGCGTCACTGGTAGAATGGCTGGGTTTGTGGCCAAACGCCCTTCACCAGTGACATCAGCAGTAACCGCCCGCCAGCCAGCCATCGCACCCACCGCCTTTAATTATTCTATAATTATGTATTTAAATACAAAAATTAATCACTGCATTTATGAACTTCATGTATGTGGAATAGTATGGACTTCATGCTAACGTTTGCTAATATTTCAAAATTGTTCTGGTTGTCTGCTTACTGTTTACTCACCTACTTACTGTTGTTTTCTTAAGGAAGGGCTTAGCTGTTGGTGCGTACACTATTTGGGTCACACGATTTTTCATGATTGCTACATTCCCTATCGCCTTTCCTATTTCGAAGGTGAGAAATCGGCATGCCAGTTATAATTAGTACTGGTAAACTAGTTATGTTGCTGTTGTTTGTTTTTTTTAAGTCTCGATTTCATGATTTTCTCAGGTTTTGGATTTGGTTCTTGGTGAAGAGGTAGTCTCGTATGATCGAAAACGTCTCATGGAGTTGATCAAAATGAGCAATGAAGAAGGATTAGGTGAAGAATTGAAAATAGCTGTTGGAGCAATGGAAATAAGCGACAAAACAGTTACTGATGTGATGACGCGCATTGACGTAAGTACTTGAATTAATTTTTAATGAAAGTGGGATAAAAACATGGGAAAATGGGGAGAATTCTAGCGTAGGGAAGCGAAACACTTGGTCGTTATCATTTCTGAGGAACTTTCTAAAAATCATTTTCTTGGGGAAATTCGCATAAAAGTATCGAGAGGTAGAAACGAATGGGATTAGGAAAACGTTCTGCAGGGGTACTGTGCAGAATTTGGCTCAAGTTCGTCTTGAAACGGATATTTAATAGGCACAGTGGCCGACGGTAGGTCAGTTGTGAGTGGCCTCTACCAGGTATGCCCAGGGGATGAAATCGTCCCTTTAGAGTCTTGAGTAAAGGTTCCAGTACGGGGAACATGATCGGAATGTGTAGTGGGGTCAGTACAGCTCAAGGGAGGGTATAGGTATGACCCTTCTCGCAACGTAACTACTATTACTAAAATTTCCTACGATTTAGCCGTTGAGCGGTGGGGGGAGGGTGGGGGGTATGGCGCGCATGAAACGGGAAAAACCAGCAATAGGAAAACAGCTTTTAGGTCAAATACGACCACCTGATGAGATTCGCGCTACGATGATATGCTTCCATATCCTGGGGTTGGTCACAGCCTTAGCTGCGGATGAGGGGGCGTGTCGGACGCAATGAGTTTGGCGCGGCGCCATTCCTTCTTCTACCAGTTGTCGAAGCGAGCAAGCGTCAAAACGCATTATATCTTTCTTATCAGTCGTTTTCTACGAATGTTGTCGCTTACCCGCTTCAACAACAGGTGGAGAACGGGTTTACCATGCACCAAACCTACTCAGCCTACTAACACAAACCTTTCATCCCCAGCGAACAGGACTGTACAAGGCACAATCTTGTCTACGAAGGTGGATGTATTAATCTGTACACCTGCTAAGTTTTACTAGTCATTACAAGGTCAAACATAAATTATTTTATTTTCATAATATGTTCCCAAGAATTATCACCTTCATCATTGATTATCAATGCCTGTTTTCAGGATGTGTTCATGCTACCAAATACAACTGTGTTGAATACGAAAACGGTAGCGGAAATACTTCGAATGGGTTACACTCGTATACCAGTGTTTTGTGGTAACTTTTTTTGTGGTTATTTTTTATTTTTATTATATTTGTAAGCATGATTGTTTGTGTACCGCAGAACTCTGACATGCGGTAGGCGTGGCTTGTACTCCATTCAAACGTTGTGATGGCAGTGCTGCTAGTGGGGTACTTTCATTTGGGACAAATGTAATCATTTCCTTGTCTACTAATAAGGTGACAGTTTCTCAAAATGAAGTCTCCTATCGAAGCCGCTTCCGCCATCCGTTCGAATGGAGTACGCAGCCACGCCCACCCCGTCTCAGGGAATCTGACTTTACATGTTAAAACTAATGTTTCCAGGTGATCGTAACAATGTGGTGTCACTTCTGTTCGTCAAAGATCTCGCTCTTTTGGATCCTGATGACAACTTTACTATACAGACCGTTTGTGGTTATCATCAGCATCCACTTCGCTTTGTCATGGAAGATACACCGTTGCGCGTTATGTTGGAAGAGTTCAAAAAGGTGTTTTACTGGTAGCTGAGATGAATGAAGTAATACGCTTTGCAGTTACAAATCGATTGCTTTTGTAGGGCGACTATCATTTAGCTATGGTACAACGTATTGTCTCTGGCGATGATAGTGATCCAACATACGAACTCGTAGGAGTTGTGACCCTTGAGGATATCGTTGAGGAAATTCTCCAAGTTAGTTTTATAACTGTAATCTTTCTATAGGAAAGTAGCTGAAAGGCCACACGACGCGTGACGCGTGGCACTCAATTTGATTTTTTTTATTTTAGCTTTCTTCTTCCTAATTTTGGTTTTTTTTGCCCATCCACGCAACTGAGGCAATTTGCCGCATTAGTTCTCATTCTGCTAGGTTTGAAGGCAGTGCGCGCGATTTCTGGAGGCGGCGGTTGCTAGCAGCGTCATTGGTGGGAGGATTGCGAGATGGCATTCGGCCACATCCCACGTAGTCCTTCCAGCAATGTCGCCACAACCACCCGCCCCAGCCATCGTGCCCGCTGCCTTTCTTATATGAGTAGATGAGGTGAAACATCACTCGGGAGTTCTTGTGGTGCCGTCCCTTTTTTATCTTGAACGTTACTTACCGTGAGCTCACATAAGCCTAGTAAGTCGCAAAATCAGTTTTTCAACTTTTTAATCCAGGCTGAGATTGTGGATGAAACAGATGCTGTGATGGACAATGTGCACAGAACAAGGAGGCGTGGTGCACAGGTAATCATCTTCATCCTTATTTCTTTGATTCTTCTAACAATTTAGGCCCGTTTGCCTTTGGTTTTTCAAAATACGACTTACATTAGGAGCTCGTTATTTTAGGCCACCAAACCCAAATGGCTTCTACCTCCCTCCATCTACTCTTATTTCTTCATCTCAGTCTCAGCGTTCACCAAGTTTTTCTTTCTGATTCTATCTGACCACGACCTTCTCTGTCCTCAGTAACAATACCTAATGTCAGCCAAAACTCCATGTGTTCCCTGATCTATTGCGGGGGTATGTGACAAGGCAGTTGTGGCTCGCCGTGCAAGTGGAAGCCGCGTGCGACGTCGCGCCCGCCAGTGGCGATGTTTTTAGGTCGCAGATATTACGAAATTAAGAAAACGCCGCGTATGCCGCGCGCGACGGAGCGGGAAACTGTGATCGTCGTGAATGTTTCCCGTAATGCAGCACATAGCAATATTATTCTCGTAGTTGTTATCAGTTACTTCCGGGAACAAGACGGTTGAATTTTTTTTGATAGAGAGAAAAAAAATAGCGACCGATCACCATCAATCGATCACTATACGAGAATGGGCAAAAAAGCGATACGTATTGTTTGGGTTTCGAGTTTCTGTAACAGTTGACTGGGTTTTTCAGGAGTTCCTTTGTATCCGAAGGACAAAAGAACAAAAGCGCTATCTGCCGTTTCCACAATCTTTGCGAGCAGTTGCGCAAATATTTGAGAGCTGGTGAACCGATAAGGAGATGACTGTAGGGCTTACAACTTTCTTCATGAAACTGGCGACTCATGTAATTGACGAATTTCCTGGAAATGCATGGCCAAAAGAGGTTATGAAAAATGTAGGCGCGTTGTCAAAGAAAAAGATCTTTTCCTCTATGAAAGTGAAATAAAAGGCTTATCCCAGAGGGATTCATTGGAGCTGGCAATGACGTTGTCGTCTGACGTCATTTAACCGTTTCCTTTTTTGAATATTTTCAATAGAATTTTGTTCGAAGGCGCATTCCGCATTCATCGTATGGGTGGGCTCACTTGGAGGTTTACGGTATCCTCATCGAAGCTCTGCTTCTCCCCACGTTATAAAAGGAAAGGACCCATTAGGGGTATGTGACATGACAACTGTAACACTCCGCTCTGGTGAGCGCTGCTTGCTCCTGAGAGGCGAGTTGACCTGCCTGGCCGAATGAACTGGAATATTAAAGGGAAGGGAGAGCTCCCTATATATCACTCGGCGTGGAAGTATGTGCGATTCTGCGGTTGACATAACTGGTGCACATCGAGAGTTTCTCAAACATTGCCGCACGGCTTGCCGCGCGCGGCGGCGCGGCCAGCCGTGGTTTTCTTGTCCCTGTCCCACCTATTAGAGAAAGGAAGCACCCATTCAAATGACCCCGCCCATGCAATATGAACGCGGAACATGCTCATAAGTGACGTGTTCGTTTCAGGCTCGTGATGTATCTTGTCTCATGGATGCAGATGAACCGTCTCGTGTAATTAGTGTACAAATGCAACTGGTAACTATGCAATGGTTAACAACAAATCATAAAGCGTTCAGTGCTGATCTTATCAGCCAATCGGTGTTGGAGAAGCTGATTCGGCAGCATTGTCGTCGTGTAAGTTTTAGCTTTTTTGCGTCAAGAGTTTGAATAGCGCAGTGGCGCGCCGCCGCGTCGCGACATTTACGATGAAGCTAAAGTTGGCAGCGTCTTTTCCTTAATTCTAGATGTTCTTTAGAAATTGATTAGCATTGATCGGGCAGCGAGATCTATGAACGATGTTTGGTTAAAGACGATTTTGATAACAAGGTAGTGAGCACGATTGCTGGGGGCAGGCTGTTGTCGTCAACGTCATTGGTGGAAGGGCTGAGTGGGGTGTAAACAGACGGCCGCTTCGATAAGTAACACTGGCAGCGACCGTCCACCTCCAGTAATCGTGCCCACTGCCCTTAAAACAGCTTCTCTTGTAGATTCTTATGAAATTAATTTCAGGTAGAGTTGTCTCATCTCCCGGATATGTACGAGCCAAAGGCTGTGGTGCCTCGAGTCGCAAAACTATACACCAAGCAGGAATACTCTGAGAAGTTCATCCTCATATTGGAAGGTCGAGCACTGGTCACGATTGGGCAGGTTTGTGGTTGTTGACCTTGGGTATTTCATTAAAAATTAAAAACTCACATGTTGAATAGGCGCTATGTGCCTTGGGGGGAGCAGTCACTAGTGAGGCTAAACCACGTCATGTCTGCTCGTCTGCGCGCCCTCAGCGAGACAGCGTGACATGTTCTAATATGGAGCGTTCATTTATGTCACCATTGAGCCAGTCTGAGATATAGTCTCTTCCGTGTAACATAGTGCCTTAGAATTAGTTCAGCTGCATGCGCGCTGATTGCCCGGCTTTTCTTATTGCCTCTTAGCGCCGAGATGTGAACTGAACCATTTATAGAACGAAATGATGTTCGAGGCCGGTCCTTGGTTTGCCTTCGGAACGGAAATGTTGGAGCGCCTGGTTGCCAAAAGCGAATGTGATTCTCGTGCGATGGGTGATGTCGATCATTCGAGAAATTCGCTTGTCAGTGATACGAGCAAGGTACTTAGTTTTCTGACTTTGTTAAGTACACAAAGTTTCGAATGTGGCTGGAGACAGCTACATACGGTCAATATCCCAGCAATGGGATGGGCGTGGCTGCGTGCTCTGAGCATTGCGTAGGATGCGTTTTTCTCAGGATCTTTTCATTTGAGACAATTGCTAAGCTCTCTTGTGTTGGACAAAGGCGTGATTATAACTGTCTCAGGATGGCAATATCCAAATATCTGATATCATAGGGACAACGGTGGCCAAGCTCAAAGGAAGGACACAGCTACGCCCTCCCCATCTACGTGATACGGCGTGTGCCTCAATGTAGAATAAAATGCACATTTTCTTGCAGAAGCTCGGATTCATCCCGGATTACACTGTGGTTGTACGTGATGAGTGTACTTTCCTTGAGATAACTGCTCATAGTTGGATGCTCGCATGCAGAAGTACACTTATGAGCCGTGGAGGAGTAAGGTAATCACTTTTTCTTATGATTTCACAAGAAAAACGTGCACTCGTAGGGCGTGCCGTAAGGGTACGCTTTTGCTGAACGCTTTTCATTTTTTCCGAAAAATCGCTGATGTGTCAAAGCAAAACTGATCCACTTCCCAAGGCTTGGTCTAGGTTACGGTAGCTTTTCCGGATCGGGCGGTCGGGCGGTGTGATGAGTGATTGCAGCTGTAGTCACACTAGTCGCACTCATATCTTGTCATCGCGTTGGTCCCCTGAAATGGAACCTCCAGGCGTTGGCAAGGTAATCATACAAACGCCGCTGGAATTAGCGTATTTAGTGGGTTTTACACATAATTACTGCCAAGATTGTTTGTACGGCTTATAAGACTCTCTTCTCTTTGCGGTGAGAAATGATGATGAGCATAGAAAGTAGGTACTCTTCGGTCCACGGGCGAGGCAGGGTGGGGGGGGGGCAAGAGGGCTTTTGCTTGCTCGTTAGTTTCTTCACTTTGCCTAGACCTGTAAACTGTCACGAAACACCACCAAAAGGAACAAACTTTCTTGACCTGCTTTAGAAAGACCTGCAAACTGTTGTAAGGTTATGAATTATTATGAGCTTCTTCAAAGCAATGGCACGATAGCGGAGAAGGGAGTTCGGGCAGTTGCTGCCAGCGTCATTGGTTGAAGGGCTGAATGGGTTGTGGTCAAAGGCCCTCCCCCAGCGCTCCCACCAATGACGCTGTCAGCAACACCCCCCCCCCCAGCCATCATGCACGCTGCCTTTGAGTGTAGCTTAAGAGGGAGACTTTCATGGATGGCCTGTACAAGCTTTGCTGAACCATTCTTCGTAGCTTCACAGGAGTTTACAAGCTTCCCTGAGCCGAGCCTACTAGAAGTTGTAAGGTCTGGTTACTGAATTACTTGATTTAATTGTTTCCGGAAATGTTTGATCGGCAATTAATCTAAATATTTGATGAATTTGAATAAATCAATTGAACATTTGCTATTTTCACAGGCCTTCATTCGCCGACGTGGATACTTTAACGTCTGGAGCAGCAGGTGACGAGGACGCTCCGTGGGCGACTGTAGAGGAGCCATCAAAGAGAAGTTCACTTGTATCCCCACAGGTAAGTATCGAAAAATTCTCCTACTTTTTGTTATTCCCGATCCATTGTTTAGCTGATACAGCGGTGGGAAAAACGCCGTGGCACATATGTGTAGAGAGGGTGAGTGTAGTGCTCGTGGATGATAGGCTCAAGAAAACGAGCGTGTGTTGTTGTAGAGGAAATAGATAGCAGTTGTAGTAAGGTTGACTAAGAGATTGGTTAGGTCTGTCCCTTTTGGATGAGATTCCTTTGCCATATGTCTTGGCATACTTGAGTTGTGACGCGACGTAGTGGTGACAAGAGGATTAGTGGGAGGTTGAGCTAACCTCTGATCATGGCTATCTCGCAGTACGATGAAAGTATACCAAGAGTTCAATCTATTTTTCTCGCTGGTGTTGGGGCGCGCTTTTTTTCCGAGTGCTGCTTTTGTCGCATGTTCAACAGTGCTTGTTTGTAGCCAAAAGGTTAAAACATTTTTCTACGTCAATGTTGCAGACCCCCTCCTATCGGGTTTCGAGCCAGCTGAAAGGACACTCTCCGCGCATGAGGCAAACTTTATTCCACGAGAACCTTGGGCTCATACTGACACCCTACAACTTCAGAAGTTGTTCCCCAGGTCTCGCTGAGAAGCAACAGTCCCCGGTGCATTACACGGACAGTACCCATCCCTTTGTGTCAAACAATAAGCTCACGGCTGAACACTCCTGTAGGTGCCCATGTCACCTTTTCATAGGAGGAGCGCTCTCAGATGAGAATCGAAGTTGGAGAACAGCCAACTGTGTTTAGGATGGAGCTTAGTGACAGCCCCACCCACGAATCGAGTGGCCGCGAAATGCCTCCGTGCTTTGGCACCGTTGACCGCATTCGCAGAGAATAAACCACTTTCGTCACTCGAAAACGGCGAGTTAATTATTGCAACCATTGCAACCACGATTACTTTCACTTTCATCCTGCACGAATTTCTTCGTGCAAGACAACGGCTTACAAGCGGTTTTATATGTGCATAGCGTTGCCCGGAACGTCGTAGGGTGATTTCCTGTGCTCTTGCTGGAAATAAGTAGCAAGTCGAATCCTGCAGATTGGGGCTTGCAGACGTCCGACAAATTCGTCTGTGCTGAAAGTGTCTCCAAGGTTTTTTCCGCTTGTTTCTGTTCACAGTGTTCCCGAGGCTTTTTTTCGCTTCATTCTCTACTGGGGAGTTACTTATAGGCTTTTGGTTCATCACTGAGCACCTTCTACCCGTAACACGTGATCGCAGGAATTGTCTTTAGAGCAGGACAACTACAGACAGCTGTAGAGTCCTTTGCGAGAACCTTTTGTGTCAATTCTAGCGCAAGGAATGCCCGTTCCAGTCCTTTTCAGTAGTGGATGATTGTGCACTTTTGGAAACGTCTTACGGTCCTTAACCCCTGAGATGTCGGATAGCTGAGCTTTAGTCCGGAAATTTCATTTTGCACGAACTTCTTTGTGAATTTAGACTTTTTACAAGGGTTTCTTCGCTATCTGGCTTGAGGTTAGGTATTCCACGTGCAGTACAGCAAGCTTGGAAATGTTAACGGTCATGGTTTGTAGCCTGAGTGAACTAGCATCGATTCGACAGAGTTAGAGACTGGTGTGAAGTTGAGTGTAAAGTGATTTGCTTTGAATTGAATACCTTTTGGAAAGTAACATGTTATATCGTCCGTCTCACAGCGCAAGCGCATGCCGTATATTTTGAGATTGGTTCGTCTACGATTGGTTCGTCTCTTGTGAAAACCAATCACGGACCAGGCACGCAAAACTGTGACTTTAACCCAGATTCCATCGCGAGTGTTCCTAATGAGTTCAGTCAGTGCACACTCGCACATCCAGTTCGTTAAACTTTGGTCGGAGTGTCGATGAGAGTTTCAGGTAAGTAAATAAAAAGCAGAAGGAGGGCGACTTAATTGTTACTGTTTTGCTGAGTATCTACCAAGTTTTCTGGATGGTTTCATGAATGGCCAAGGTCAAAAGAAAACGGATAAGAGTGTTTGTAAAACTGCTTAGTAGTTTTTTTTTCTTGGTGTTTGCAGTGCAATCTTGTAAGAGTGCGAAACACTGATAAAAGCTTTTCAACACTACAACTACTGTTAATGGTTTGCAGTTCTCATGGTTTGATCTAATGTTAACTTCATAGATGTTCTTAATCTGAACTAAATGCTGCTTTGTTGGGATATCAAACAACATTAGTATTACAAAAGATTCTAGCCATCATGGTGCTTAAAGGCAGTTGGCAGGATAAATCCCCTAGGGCGACTAGGATCAATACTCCTGGCAGGATAGAACTCCGCGACCCTGGTCAGGCGCTGCATAGCGGTTTCCCCGAGGAAGGTGCCCTTAAAAGGGCCCTGTCAAGCCACAACTTTACGTCCCAAACGCCTGCCACGCCCGCACGCCCGTAAATGGACGATCATTCCTGACGCTCGTATTCACTCATTTGCTAAGCAAATTATGAAGCGCAGGGATGGTTATGAAGCGGCCGTGATGCTGCATGCATATATAGGTGCACATATGCAGCCGTGTCTTCGGTAGCGACGATTGATAAGATGCCTACGGGAAACTCGTCCGAAACCGTACAAGTCACTGAGAAGGGAGGCTTTTTCTTCGCAGGATTTTAACCGTTTCTCTCCGTTCTTTCGCCATTTCCCCACTATACAGCGCCCTACTAGCATTTTAGGCTGAGTAGGAAACCATCGTGCCAACTGCCTTTAAGCAGTGTTCAGGCTTCGTAAAGCTGGTCGACGCGCTGTAACGCGATACAGATGCAACAGCGCTCCAAGCCAATAGACGTGAACACAGGCGCAGACGGGAATCGACTTGTGTGTTGAGAGAGTATTGGGAACAAGAGGGTATGTTTGGTATCGATCAGCATTGTCCGCTATCAGAGCGCCGATCTTTCCTTCTGCACTTGCATAAGCGTCTATAGAATTGGAGCTTTTGCAGCTGTAGCGAGTCGAAGTGCGTTTGAGGCAGCGTTTAGACTCAAGACGCTTACAGCGCAGTAACGCGCGCTACATTTACAAGTGTTCAGGGGTATAAGCGCGAACGCATCGCAGACGGCTGACGGCGACCGTTGTCTCGAATCTCCGCAATCCTCTTTCTCCTACTCTCTCGAGACTCAGACCGACGCCCAACGATCGAGCATTCGCGAATGGGAATTGATCGGCGCTAGCCGCCTGAGGCTGCGTTCGCGTTTATAGCCTTGGAGCACTGTTGTACTGACAGCGCTGCAACGCGCGTCGCTGCGCGTTGAGTCTAAAACTGCCTGTCGTCGCAGTCCGGTTCTGGTAGAAGCATTAATGGGGAGAAACTCTGCGGATGGGCTCATTCCACGCTTCCTGGTACTGCTTAGCCGTACTGCGACTGCTTCAACTACACCTACCAGCGGCGTAGTGCACTAACTGTCCACTCTGGGTGACCCATTCATATTTAGATGATATGGGTTTAGACGTTTTGATGTAAAAATGTAAGTAATTGCATATGGTGACTCATAAAGCCATCACTTAAGTTTTTGTAGTTGATCAAAGGTGGAAATATTCCAGCTTCACCCTCAAGTGCCACGTCGTGCACCTCGCTAGAGTTTTGCCAAGTTGCGTTCCAAGTGGAACTGAATATCATTTGATATATCATTCAGAATATCTGATATTCTGAATGATATCAGATGTACCTCGCTCAAATATTGGCTCAAAAACTGAGCTCATTAATTTGATAAGAAAACCCAAGGTTAGCTGCTTCAGGTGCATGGAGGGTGCACAACGAAAGTCTCATGATAGCGAACAGAGACATTCTATTTTGTGTATAGAATGGATAGATTTTTGTTCACCGGTAGAACGGCTTTCATATGAAGTGGTAAGATGTTCACAGAACATTACTATTTCGTTATCATAGCTGAATAAGTATGCTTAGCAAAGTTTCTGAATAGGCGTGGCACCAATTCAGTGCGGGCTTGATCTGCCATTGATACGGGGAATATCCACTTGTGCATAGTTGACATCCAGTGGGTTTCATTCAGGAGATTTGGGTCCGGCATTGCGCGCAAACCAAAGGTATTCCTAGCTAGTTGACTCAAAAAATGTCGAAGTGCTCTATTAAACCATTAGCTAGGGAAACTGGTTTGCGCGCGACGATTCGATTCTCCTGACCTGCTCCAATATGCCAATGTCAAGCGTCCTATTCAGCTATGGTATGCAAAGAGTTTGTGTTCAGCGTCGAAACAACGTTCCGCGTCGTACTTACAGTACTTACAAGGAATGTGCCACATGCCTGAGAGCTAAACTAACATAGAGAATTGACGTCAAACTGCATGATTACTTCTAGTAACATCGGGAATGTTCCTTTTGTCATATTCTTTTGTGTTGGCAGGGATACTGCCATTGAGCTCACTTTAGTTATATCTTTTCATGTGGGCGGACTTAAGTGCCACCATATACGCTTTCCATTGGACCGTCTAGTATCACATCGTCATGTGGGCGGAGTTTAATGCTACCATCCACGCTTTCGATTGGACCGTCTATTGTAAAAACACTTGGAGGAGTAAGCATGTTGCCAAGGCTCTGCCACGCGGTACTCCTAGCTTGACGCATGTTTTTGAGTGGTCCTCGTCAGTAACTCAGCAGTTGCGGAAACCTCCTTTTTGGGCTGACTCGACTGGGAGAGAAACCGTGGGGGCGGGGAGGAATATAGTACATATGAAACAGGAAAAATCACGCTAAAAGAAAAAAAATCTCCCAACGCGGCAAACTTCTCTCAAAGGCTTATACGACCGCCCCTCTCCCAACGAACAAATACGACCCTCGCCCAGCAGAAAGTACGACCCCCTGTGTATATCTCTGAGAACCCTGTGTGTTTCCCACAACGCTGCTGTACCCTGAGTGTGGATAGTGTTATAGGTATGTATTGCCAACACTTGCCGCACGCGGCATGCAAAGCAAGGCAGGCGAACCCTGTCCGAGGGAGGGCAACTCGTCCGAAGCCTAGAAGTAGTGCCTTTCCCTAAGTGATCATTAGGAGACGACCTGGCTGAGGAATTAGAGCAGCGAAGCCAACGCTCAAGACTTTGTGTAGTCCATTAACAAGGAAAACCAAGTTCAGCAATGT